CAGCCCTTTCATTAAAGACTTTCTGTTTTGAAAGTCTGAATTTTTAAAAAGTCATTTTTCCCCAGTCCTTCATACTCTGTAATTTGAAAGATAACTGGCAAGAAGCTAGAGAGGTATAGATGGGAGGTGACTTCTTTCTATCAGGTTTCTGAGAACCTTAGGGAAGCTGATGGTAATTTAAGAAGAGCCAAACAGGGATTTTGTTTATTTCTTTTGACTGTAATATTTTAATTCTGGATCCAAAGACATAGCTGTGTTAGTTGGAAAAATCAGTATGCCAAGAGATCTTGTAGTAGCACCTTGAAACAAAGAAGCTGGGAGCATGAGTTTTCCTAGACATGAACTACTTGAGCCAGGGGCATGAGTTTTCCTAGACATGATCTACTTGAGCCGGAAGCATGAGTTTTCCTAGACATGATCTACTTGAGCCAGAAGCATGAGTTTTCCTAGACATGAACTACCTGATCCGGGAGCATGAGTTTTCCTAGACATGAACTACTTGATCCGGGAGAATGAGTTTTCCTAGACATGATCTACTTGAGCCGGAAGCATGAGTTTTCCTAGACATGATCTACTTGAGCTGGAGTATGAGTTTTCCTAGACATGATCTACTTGAGCTGGAAGCATGAGTTTTCCTAGACATGATCTACTTGAGCCGGAAGCATGAGTTTTCCTAGACATGAACTACTTGAGCTGGAAGCATGAGTTTTCCTAGACATGATCTACTTGATCCGGGAGAATGAGTTTTCCTAGACATGATCTACTTGAGCCAGGAGCATGAGTTTTCCTAGACATGATCTACTTGAGCTGGAAGCATGAGTTTTCCTAGACATGAACTACTTGATCCGGGAGCATGAGTTTTCCTAGACATGAACTACTTTATCCGGGAGCATGAGTTTTCCTAGACATGAACTACTTGATCTGGGAGCATGAGTTTTCCTAGATCCTAGACATGATCTACTTGAGCTGGAGCATGAGTTTTCCTAGACGTGAACTACTTGAGCTGGGAGCATGAGTTTTCCAAAACTTGAGTCCTTTGGACTCTTTACTGCATTTCATGCATCTGAGAAAGTAGGCTCAAGTCTAGGAAAGCTCATGCTACTGGCTTCTTTTTTCATTTAGGTCCAAAACATTTTGCAGAAATATGTGTTTTGGACCTTAGTCTCAAAAGGCGTTACAAGATCTCTTGGCATACTGAATCCAATAGAGCTTCCTCTGAGTAGCCCTGAAGACTGCAACCTTGAACACACTTCCATGGGTGTGTAACCTCTTAACTTACAATACAGAAAACATTCAGGGCAGCTGTGTTGGCCATTTAGCCAATTCAAACAAAAATCCATCAGTGATACCTGATGCACAACCAAAATGCACAATATACACAAAATACAAGTATATTTTGCATTTTGATTGGCCAATGAAGGTATCACTGATGGATTTTTGTTTGAATTCTTAACTTAGGGCCTTTACAGACTGCCAGAAATAATGCAGCTTGAGTCCACTTTAACTGCCCTGGCTCAGTGCTAGAGAATCATGGGAATTATAGTTTTTTCTGAGACATTGAGCCTTCTCTGTCAGAGAGCTCTCATGCCACAATAAACTACAGTTCCCATGATTCCCTAGCACTGAGCCAGGGCAGTTAAAGTGGACTCAAGCTGCATTATTCCTGGCAGTCTGTAAAGGCCCTTAGTTAGACTTTGGAGCATATCGCTCACCAAATTAAGCTGGGTTACTTCTTCCAGCTTCAATCCTGGATCCAGGTTACCCCCAGATGTTATCAGACATAAATCACCTCTGACTTAGCTGCGATGCTGCCAGCCAAATCCATCCCGGGTTGAAGCCTCACTCAGCCGGCCAATTTTTGAAGTTGGAAACTCCCCAATTTTGAAAGAAGTGACGGCTGACTGAGGCTTCGACCTGGGATGGATTCAGCCAGTGGCATTGTGGCTAAATCAGTGGTGATTTACATCTGATAACATTCGCAGGTATCCCGGATCCAGGATTGAACCCGGTAGAGGTAAGCCGGCTTAATTTGGTGAGCGATAAGCTCCTTCTACATATTCCTGCATAGCATTGCTATTAATAATTTTGGTACCCCCTCCTTGGTTTAATCATGGGTCATCAACATGATAGACCCGGGCTCACTATGCATGCTTACACGCTGTGGCACCACTGGCATCATTAGGGGATGTGGGGATTGTGGACCACACCAGGTGATGCCCGAATGTGGGTGACACCACTGCTGCTCAAACATCTGCCTTTGGGCAGAAATGGACCGTGGCCTTTGCCTGTCTCTCTTTAAAATGCAGAACAGATGGTGTGAATGGCGTGAAGCTTAGTGGGCGAAGAAAGGAGAGGCCCTTGTTT